TTTGAGAGAGTAGTATGGTAGTAGTCTAGTGGTAGTGGCAGTAGTAGTAGTGGTAGTGGTAGCAGTTAATAAAAACTCTTAAACGTAAAACATTTTTTTTCTTTTTTTACACGTGAAAAACGTGTAAACATCCACGTCAATCTTGTTCTCGTACTACATGAATTTTGTGCGTGATTACGTATCAAATATATATATAAAAAAATTACGGTTAAACTCCTTGCTGTGTCTCTCTCCCCCCTCCCATCCCCTCCCCGATTTCATACAATTTATTATTATTTTCCCATCAAAATCCGTCTTTAAGTGAAATAATAATAATAATAATAATAGAGAGAAAGAAAGAGAAAGAGAGAGAGAGAAAATAAAAATAAAAAATTATAATTTATTGGAAATAAAAAAAATATGCGGAAAAATTTTTTTTTCGAAATCATTTTTTATAAAAAAAAAAAAAATTTTGTCCCAAACCTAAAAAGGACAACATCTCTCTTCTCCGCCATATTTTAAATAAAAATAATAATAATAATAAATTTTCATATATATTCATTGTGATACAAAATTTCGGCTCGTCTAAAATTGGATTCTTTTGACACTTAATTTAAAACGTTTAAACAATCGATAAATCAATTCTTCCCTCCTTTTTCCTCCTTCTCCTCCTCCTTCTTCTTCTCCTTTCCCCCCTCCCTTCCCATCTACAAATCTTTCGTTTTCGGTAAAATCGTAATTTTACAAAGAATTTTTTTTTTTCGGGGAGATGACACTCAGAAGAAGAAGTTTTTTTTTTTACAATAAAAACTTTACAACAAATATTTTTTGCTTAAAATTCGAGTATTTTAGTGACCTCAGCAGGAAAAAGAAAGGAAAAGGGGAGAGGGGAAAGGGGAGAGTTTTACGAATTCATTCATCTTTTAAAAGCTCAAACATTACTATTATTATTATTATTATTAAATTAAAAAGTTTAGTACGTATGGATCGAACTTGGTAAAAGAAAGAAAAACTTTTCACCTATTTCGGTAAATTTTTAATGACCAACGCAAAACATAAAAAATTTTTTATAGAAACTTTTCAATTTTAATTTTTTTTTTTTTTTTTTTAAAGCAAACAAACAAACAAACTAACAAACAATAGAATTAAAAAGTTTTTTTTTTCCTTTCCTTTTCTACTCTCAAAGAATATTTTCATTCGAATTAAAGAAAAATAAAAAAAAATAAAAAATGCATTTAAGGGAAACAAAAAAAAAAAAAAGAAATTTAAAATTGCGCACCGAATGAAATTCTGTAAATGTCTAATAATAATAATAATAATAATAATAATAATATTGAAACAACTTGGGCGCCATTTTAAAAAAAAATAATGCATGATCTCTGCCTCTAAATCCGAAATAAAAGCGATTTCGATCACAGGAATTAAACGACGACAAAGTGATATCTTAACACCAAAACCGCAACGGAAGTGAGAGAGAGAGGGAGAGAGGAAGAGAGAGAGAGGGAGAGAGGGAGAGAGAGAGAGGGAGAGAGAAACGGTACTACGGTAATAAACCAATAATAAAAATTCAATAAAATAAATAAATAAATTAAAATAAAAAAAGGGCGACATTTTGTACAAAACACTTTTATCGCTCTTACGACAATTATTATTATTATTTTTACAACAACAAATAATAAATAAATATATAAATAAATAATTTTTTTCTTTTCCAGTTTATTTTCTCTATGGATTTTAATTAAAAATTAATACTTATATGTTCCGAGAACGCAAGTCACCATTATTCGACTTCGTAAAAAAAAAAAAAAAATATTATGGATATTTTTATTTTTATTTTTTACAATCTATCATTTGACTATTGCATTATAAGAGTTTATAAAATACGAATCGATTATCATTATCATTATTATTATTATTATTATTTAATGCCGTTTACGACGACGCTTTTTCCCAATGAGAAAATTAAATTTTTTTTTACATTTATCAATGCCGCTCACGACGATTCCTAAGATTTTCTCGTTGTAGTTTTTCCAAATCGGAAAAAAAAAACAAAATTCTTTCACTCTTTTTGCCCTACTATTTTTTCGTATTTAACCTTTAAAGTCTTCTGCTAACGGTCAGAAATGTCTACTGCTACGCACGTACAAAAAATACGAGGAAAAATTACGAGAAATTAAGGAAACCGTCATGTAAACGTCATGATGACGATGGTGGTGGTGGTGGTAGCAGCACTTTGCACATTTTTATTTTAATTTTCGCAAAAACCACCAATAATAATAATAATAATAATAATAATAATAATAATAATAATAATAATAATAATAATAATAATAATAATAATAGTAAGATATCAAAACCGAAATAGAATTTAAAAGAAAAAAAAGATGAAGATAAAACTCAAGTACCAACTGACCTCAAAAAAAAAAAAAAAAAATTAACCTTAACAATTTTTCATAGAGCCCTCATCATCATCATCATTTCATCATCCTTCGTCATCATCATCATCATCATCAACAACAATTATTATTATTATTTTTCTTTTTCCAGATGATGATACAACCGTTTATAAATCCGAATCGAAATATAAATAAATAAATAATAAAAAAGATTGCAATTAAATATCAATGCGAAAAAACCAATAAAAAAAAAAAAAGTTTTCTTTAATCAGGTACGACTTTGGTATGTGAGATCAATACGTAAACCATTTAATTAATTTTTTTTCCTTCGAGAACCTAGAGGTTTGCCACGCCAATAGGACCCCCAGTGTCCCAAGTATCCCTAGTTTTCTAATATTATCATTACCGATAACAAACAAATTCATAAAAAATTATTTTTCGTCCTCCATTTTTTTTTTTTTTTGCCACGAATTAACTGAAAACTTTTAAATTTTAATTTCTTCCCCCCCCCTCTCTTCCCCGCCACCCCTCCCCGTTTTATAATTAATATCTTTTTCGTAAAAAGGTAGTCATGGAAGAGGTGGTGATGATAATGATGACGGTGATGGTAGTGATGAATGGTAGCAAAACGGATACCTGCTGCATATAATACATAATTACAACGTTACACAATTAATGTTATTAAAAAATTAAATCTTTGAAAAAAACAATTTTTTTTTTCCGTTGTTGTTGTTGTTGTTCGACTATTATTATCACGTGTGAAAAAAAAAAAGAAAAAGAAAATTAATTATTAAACGTTGAAAAATTAAAAAAGTGTACGAACGACCATTTTTCAACAGGTAATTTGCTACTAATTCACCTGTGAAGAATTTTATATAAATAATAATTGTAACGAAATACGCCGACGTCTTTAAAACCACGGAAGACACGACGTGTCTTTAAATTGAAATTTTTTATTATTATTATTATTATCAGTTCAAAACCGTGTAAATAGAATAAAAAAAAAAAAAAAAATTTCAACGAGGACAAACATCGACGTGGAATAAAACGAGGCACGTGTGTGTGTATATGAAATATTTTTTTTAAGATTCCCCCCGTTATTGCCGATAATATAAAATCAAAAACGGGTAAAAAAATTTTTTTTTGCGGCTCCATCATAAAGTTTTACAACAGGGAAACACACAGAAAACCTACGGGGGCACGGGGGAGGAGGGGGAAGGAAAAAACAAAATGGCGAAAGTTTTCCACGTTATTTAATTAGAACGAACGATTACCATTTTTCCTCCATTTTTATTAACTTATTTCCCATTTTTCATTCATTTTTTTTTTTTCTTATTTCCTACTTTTTTTTTTCTCATCGACGACATTTTTTTTTTTTTTTTTAACGAAATGACGGAATCAAATTATAAACAAATTAATTAAATTAACATTTCGCATAAGAGTGTGTAAAAATTTCCAATTTTAATGATTTTTATTTTCTTCTCACACAAACATTCAGACTTGTTAAAAAAAAAAACAAAATATTTCTTTCATACCCAGGTTCTCAGAGGAATCAAAGAAGTAATGAAGAGATTTAGAGAGAGAGAGGGAGAGAGAGAGATTGGAGAAAAAAAAAGGAGAGGAAACAAGGGAGCTAAAATGAAAAAAAAGATAAGAAATCCCGTTAGAAAAGACCTTCCCCAGCTGCATTCCACACTCCCCGCTCTTTATGAATGAGCTTTACATTAAATCCCCACAAGTCACCGAATACCACATCATTATCATCATCATCATCGTCGTGTTTTTTAAGGCAAGCTCAACATCTCTCACAAATCTTTTTTTTTTTTTCTCTCTCTCTATACACCGTTGTTTCATAAAAGGTAAAATATTGACGTGAAACCATTATATTCACGTCACTTATCGAACTTTTTTAAATTAATTCAAGTTATGAAAGAAGAATGTAAGAAGTCTTGGTTATCGAAAGGAAAACTTGAATTTGCCCAGGTTTTACTTATGAAGGTATAAAGGCCACCGGGTTCGCTCATTCATAATACGAGACCTCCCCATAGAGGCCCCACAATCTGCTGTATTTTAATGAGTTTTTATTCGAGTGTAAAAAAAAAAAAAAATCGCCCTGCCATCTAGGAGAAATTTTACAAAGTTTTAATCGTGACGACTAAAAACAACAACGCTCGATGACGACGACGGCTTACAAATTAAACTGTTTAATTTTTTTTCTCATAGATGGCACTGTTAATTTTAAATTTTTACGATTTAATAAAAAAATAATAATAATAAAAATTTAAATAACGGTCAAAATTTTAAATTTGAAAAAATATTTACGATATTTTTCCTTTCATTTCAACGATTTCTAAAGAATATAAACGAATTCGTTTTCTCATTTTACAAGTCGATTTTTAACAGTAAAATAACGTATGTACACAGTGAATTTAATTGCAAATTTAAAATTAAATTTAAAAGTATTTCAATCAAAAATGTCTAACTTTGAAATTTTTAAACATTTGAAACAGATAATTAAATGCTATTCATTTCCATTAATATTACCGATTATTATTATTATTTGTTTATTATTAGCATTCAATCATTCAGTCGCGAAAATTCAAAAAAAAAAAATAAAAATAAAACTTACCTGGCATTTTCAAAAGTTGCCGAAGGAGTGCTACCAATTGCTCCAAAACCAACTCCTACAGCCAAACCTTCAGGTATGTTATGAACGGTTATTGCAACTATCAAAAGAACTATTCTTTTCCATTGATCACCAGAAGTTCCACCTTTTGTTATGCATTCAACAGAATCCGACATTTCATCTCTTATGCTACCCAAATTTTCACAGCTCATACCGGGATTTTCCACGGTTCCCGACATGTTTTGTCCTTTGTTAAATTTTTGATAACTCTTTAGAAAATTACGAGCTCGAGGATTACTTAAATTTGAAGTGGGTATTGAAGTTGTAGGATTATTTGAATAATTACAATTTAAATTTGTTGGATCACTTATTGAAAACATTGTGGACGAACGGACGGTAGAATCAGGCATTGGATTAGAAAAATCAAAATCAGTTAATTGATGATGATCAGGTTCACCTGATTTTTTTCTTGAATAATTTAAACTGTTATTTATATTTGAAACAAAAAAAAAAAAAAAAAAAAACAATTTTTATTTTAAAACAATAAAAGGTTTAAATCATTTTTAATGATACATTTTAAAAGTCTAAAAATTAAATCACAATTGAAATAAATTGAACAATTTAATGTCAATTAATTTGACAATCAAAAATTAATTAAAAAATCAAGGGCACATTTTTAAATGTAAAATAGTTCTTTCTAAATAATAAATCATTGTTTTCTCATTTAATTCACATTCAAATTTTTTTTTTTCAATAATATATTATACATTTGAAAATTCAATTTTGTGAAATAAAATTTCAATAAAAAAAAAAAAATTGTTGTGTAAAAGAAGGAAAATTTAATTTAAATTTTATTTTGTATTTTTAATTATCTTTTTTTCCTTACTCATCAAAAAATTTTTTTTTAACTGAAAAAAAAAAAAAAAAAAAAAAAAACAAATAAAATTATTGAAAACCTTTGAAAAAATTGGATAAATTTATTTTTGTTATATCATACAATTTTTATTTATAATAATTACCTTCATAAGTGAGCCCTGATTGAGTGTAAGATCTCCTTCTTTGTATTGAATCTTTTTTATGTCTTTGCTTTTTAACATCTTTTTGCATTGCTAGTAATAGATGAGGTGCACACAAACCAAAACTAGATATCAGCAAATCTGTGAGATATACAAAAAGACCACCAAACAAAAAACCCACTGACACTGGTAGAAATGCATATTCTCCATTTACACCATAATTTTTTGATTGTTCAGCCATTTCTATTGCTGGGCTCAGCAGTGACCAAAAGGAAGCTGCTAACATAACACCTGCTGCAAATCCAAGACTTGCATGTAATAATTTCATCTAAAATAAAACATTTATGTATAAATTAAATTTATTGATTTGATAATTTGTAGCATGCTAATTATGACCTGATTATTTAAACAAGTGCAAAATACAAAACATTAACTGCAATGTGAAAATAATTTTATTTATTCAAAGGGAAGGAAGCATTTTTAAGCCTGAAAATTGATAATATCAGTACCTATCTCTGGTTAATGTTATCTTACAAAACAATTAAATTTGATAGTCAGTTCATAATAATGATATTTGTTTTTTATTATCAAAATTTTTTTTGAAGGTAAAAACATTGGAATCAAATATTCATGAAGGAATTTATATATAAATTCAAAATGCATTTTGATTTTGTTTTTTTTTTTTTATAATTGATATAATTTTACGAAGATAATTAATTAGAATTTTATTTTTATATGAAAAGTAAAATAAATTTGGCGTAAATGTTTCAATCCAAAGTAGTAACTGTTTAATAACGTATTAAAAGTGGATTTACCTGAGAACCTGAAAATACAACAACCACAGCTGCTCCAGCTGCTGTAAGGCACCATGTAAATAAAGTACCCACAATGGCTTGACCCAGTGGACTAATATTTGAAATCATTTTTTTTAAAAAAAAAACAAAAAAAAATTATTTTATTAACTACTTTACTAAAACACTAAGTTAAAACTTTACTCAGACATCACCATTTTTAAATAATATAATTGCCAACTTTAAAAAATTACATTTCAGTATATCAGCCAATCAAAACATTTTTTATTTTTGTAAACTGTCAAAAAGAATGGCCTCTGCTAAGGTGAGTTGGACAATGTTTACATTAATAATAAAGTTGTTTGTTTTAAATACTAATTAGTTTTTATTAATTTTTTTTCATTGCTATGGTAAATTTATAGTATTACTTTATCGGTTACTATGTAGTTAATTTAAATTGTGTAATACAACTTTTTTCTATTGAAATTTTAGGCACATCTTTTAGGGGATGTGGATGACACCCTGCAGTTTGGTGAAGAAGAAGAAGAAAATACAAATAAATTAAAGTAAGTTTTAAAATAATTTAAATAAATTTAATTGTCAATATAAAATAAACATATAAATCTAAAATTAAGTAATTAGGGATGAAATAATAATTTTTTTAAATTTTTTTTTAACCATTTTAAAATCACAATTTTGTTTTTTTTTTTTAAATCGAGATAAATAATTTCATTTTTTTTTCATTATTTTTCAGGCATCCAGTTGTGACATTTTTTCATTTAGCTTTCAGAGTATCTGCACTATTAGTTTATATATTATGTGGATGGTTTAGTAACAGTTTTATCACTAGTTTTGTTATTGTAGTTTTATTATTATCAATGGATTTTTGGACTGTAAAAAATGTTACCGGACGTTTAATGGTTGGTTTAAGGTGGTGGAATTATGTCGATGATGATGGAAAATCTCATTGGGTATATGAAACCAAAAAGGTTATTTCTATTTTTTTTTTGTGTTTAAATTAAAAATTTTTATTTAAATTTAAAAGATATTAATTAGATAAAAAAAAATTGATTATGCTTCCCTTTTTATTAGGGATCTCAACAGAATAGAATTAATTCATCAGAAGCAAGAATTTTTTGGTTAGGATTAATTGTGTGCTCTCTGATTTGGGTGATACTTTTTATTGTAGCTTTGTTAGGATTCAAATTAAAATGGCTGGTAAATTTTTAAATTTAATAATAATTGATGGTTCAAAAAATTAATTATTTAATTGTTATTAATGTTTTTTTTTTATTTAATTGTAGCTTTTAGTTTCAATTGCTTTAGCTCTGAATGGAGCCAATTTATATGGATATATTAAGTGTAAAGTCGGAGCCAATGAAGGTTCTTCATCGTTTTCAAATTTTTCTTCAAATTTTGTTTGGCAACAATTAATTAAAAATGTGAGTAATATTTTACTTAAAAAGTAATAATTGCATGTATTAATTCTAAATTAAATACTACTAAAAAAATTCATGTTGAGGTATATTATATGTGATTACAACAGTAAATTGTAAAAGTACGATAATTATTCTTTGTTTAAAAAAATGTTACCGTTTTAAATATGATTGAGTTAAAAGCTTAAAAAAAAAAATCATTAAAAATTTATGTATTATTAAAATAAATAATAAAAAAATAACAATAACCATTTTTATTTTTTTATTTTAATTGCTTTTTACAAAGTATTATTAATTATTAATAAATTAAAATTATTTATTTGATATTTATTTTAATGCATAGTTATTTGTAATGAATAGTTTTTATATTAATAGAAATTTTAACAGCTTATTAATAAATTATTATTAATTAGAAGTTAAGGTTTTAAAAAAGTAACAAAAAGCTAACAAATTTTTTTTATTTTAAATCATTAACACATTCAAAAAAAAATACATCTTTGAAAGTTAAGGTAATAAATGTTATTACTAAATTTAACTATATCAAAAAATCTCTTGAATGCTTTTACGAGAAGGTAGCATAATAAAGTTTATAAGAAAATTAGTCATGTAGAGAAAAAATTAATATTAAACATTTTCGAACAAAAGCCTTTTTGAAAAAAAATGTTTTTCATTTTCTTTAAATAAAAAAATTTTTAATTAAATTTGTTTTTATTATTGTTTAACGGAAGGCGTTTGGAAGTCTTCAAACAGATATAAGACCGGTATCAAAAGTTTAATCGAGAGCCCTGTAGATTTAATGGATAAATTTGCATGTTAGTTGGTAAGACCTTGATTAGTTTTAACAATTAAAAAAAAAAATTTATGCCGTAATATTCAATGTGTAGGTCATATTTGAAATAACCATTCATTTGATTTTAT